CTCTTTTTTATTTCATACAGTAATTGTTTAATAAAATTAAAAGCTTGTGTCTGTACATTAGACTTCTTTTCTTGAGATAAATTTATATTAATTATTGACTGGTTACACCCCACTCCATAATCACAATTGCTCAAATGTCGGTATACAGAATCATTATTAATATTATTATATATATATTCAAATCCTTTTGACACTACAGTTTCTTTTATAATTTCCTTTGCCAAAAAAATAAATAAACAACAAATATCATCATAGGACCTTCCAAGATCCACAAAATTCTTTTGAAAAGTTAAATTTAAGCAATTTAATTCTTGTAATATGGGTTTTATAATGATAAGATAAAGGTAATTAGTCTCATCATGTAGCATTTCATGTATAATTCGTGAAGCGTAACATTTTTCTTTTTTAACCATGACAGAAAAATGAGTTAAGCTCTAGCCAGTGTTCTAGAATGGTATTAACCACAAAACTGCGTACTAGCCACCGTGTGCCAGATATCTGATGAAAATTATGGAACTTTTTATTCAAGCCAGAGTTAAGAAGATCAAACATTTGTTTATATTCATCCCTTCTTTTTGGACTTATATGGAACCAGTTATACACTTCTCTGCAGAGGTAATCAATAGTACTAGGAAACTGTTCTGATGCTTTTGAAACTGCATTGTTCAAAGAATGACAAATACATCTTACGATTTGCAAGTTTGGACTTTTTTGTTTTAAATTGGTAAAAAGAGAATGATATTTTCCGCATAAATTGTTTGCACCATCAGTACCTATGCCTATCAACTTTGATAAATTTAAACCTATCACCTGCGTGTAATTACATATACAGTCATACAGTGAATCAGATGAACAACTAACGACTTCTATAATGCCTAAATATTGGGTAATTATAGATTCAGTTTTAGAACTAAAATATTTAATACATAGGCACAAAAATTTTTGAATACGGAAACATCAGTGGATTCATTAATAATCAATGAAAAATAATTTGTACCAATATCTTGCACAAGTTCCTCAAGTAAGGTTGGTGCGATTACATTTTGAATCAATGAAGAACATTTAGTTCGATGAAGTTTTAAATTGGCTAATGCAGTACCTTTGCCAAGCACTTTCAATATTTCACCCAAATGATCGACACTCATAATTGAAGTGTGTGTACTTACATAGACAGCTAATTTCAAATCTATAATTTTTTGTTCGTTAGATATTTTAACAATGTTACTTAATACAGACTGATCTTTTTTCATTGGATTCAACTGGACCATGTTATCACTGTGAATTTTTGTTTTTGCATGCCTTTTCAAATCGGTTAGATGTGCTCTCAAAAACGAACGGCATACTTTACAATAAGCTTCTGCAACTGTGTTCGCAGTTGAATCAGCTGGTGCTAACCAACCTTAAAAATTAAGAAAATTATACAAATTAATTTTGGTCTGGTTATATTGAATCCAGGACGAAAATTCTGGAGACGGTGGAGACAAAAAGACCATTTTGAGGCTTGACCGATTATATGTTTTAAAAATATTAACACATACCTTTAGCCCATAATTCATTTTCCCATGATTTTCTATACTTTCTGAGTTTTTMAATTTTTCAATCTTCAGGACTAGCGAGTAAAAGCTGATGGCTGCGAGCTGAGTGCTGACACGCTTAAAGTTTAAACCTTCAATGGCTTCAATGCGTGATTTGTTTTACGTACTTCGTACGTGTATGTAGCAGATATGTATATGAAACATATCTTAGACTAGGTTTTCCCTTGATAATCATTGTAATTGTTTAAAAATATTTCTTTTAAGTGGGTACACTAATTATCTCGAAAAGTATTTACTTTTGTCAAAATAGTTTTTTATATGGTTTCAACTTGTTAAAAAACCAACGTTTTTATTAAAAAACTATATTTTTAAATATTTTTTATCCTTATTATTTTTTATGTTTTTTACTTTTTTGAATGACAATATAGAGTTTTAATTTCATATTCCAAAGCAGAATATTTTTCTAAGTATTTTGATTTATAAAAATCGAATTTAGGGCTAGTAGTTTTTGAGTTATAAGTATTTAAAGTTTAGATTGGCAGAGTGGAGTGGTACGGGGTTACCCCGCAAAATGTTTGTCCACTACTTCGCTTGTCTAAACTTTAAATACCTATAGCCAAGTACAACAATTTACTTATGAAATAATGATCTCTATTGGTTAAAAAAGTTAAAATAGTTAAAAAAGTCAGTTATCTGGAATCAGAATCTGCACTGCGAATAAAGAGATTAAATAATTTAATAAAACAAGATACTGAGTTATTCGAGTTAGAAAAAAAAGTTAATTATTTTTATTTCAGAGTTTTATAATTTATTATATTATACTTGTTTTTATTTTGTTGTATTTAATTAAATATATATTTATGTGAAATTCCTTCCTATAAATTCAATTTATATTTTTAATACATTTTCTATTGTTATACTTATTACTTAAAAATAAAATACAAAATAGTTCCTAATAAATGCTKTATTATTATTATTTTTATTTATAATTATTATGATCTGTTTATTTTATAATTCTATATTCTATACATTCGTATACATTGTTATGTACTTATATACAATAAACTTGTTTTTATTTTTATTTTGTTGTATATTCATGTGAAATGTCTTTCTATAAATGCTGCTTTTATAATGTTCGCGAGTCGATTGTCTGGTACAGGCGGTACAGCTAATACATCATTTCTGGGTAACCTGACATTCTCTTCTTCATTTTCTATTTGTAAATCTAAATTATGACTTAATGCTACATTATGAAGTATAGCACATGAAACGATGATCAAAGTTGAAGTTTGAAGTTTTGTACGGAGCTTTCTGCATAAACAGCGAAATCGACTTTTGAGTAGGTACTCCTTTCACTCTTTCAATAACATTCCTGGTTTTTATATGTGATTTATTGTATTTATTTTCTGCTGCAGTTGATGGATTGAGTTTAGGTGTGTATAGAAATTTACTCTGAGGGTAACCACTGTCTCCAATTAAATGGCCTATAATTTATGATAATATTGAATTTATTGTTAGTCAATATCAAATATTTAGAATATATTAAAATAAATATAAATATAAATAAATAAATATGYTACCAGCTAAAGCATTTGATTCAATTAGAAGTTTCACTCGACTATTATTATAAATTCTACTATCATGAACTGAACCTGGCCATCTGCAGACTATGTCGAAAATTTGCATTTTTGGACCACAAACAATTTGAACATTTAATGACATCCATCCTTTTCGATTTCTATAAATTTCTGCGTTGTCGCCTCTGGGACTTTTAATAGGGACATGTGTACAATCTATACCTCCTATTGCACCAGGAAATTCACCAATTCGATAAAATTGTTCCTTAGTGTCTTGTATATTATTACCTACTGAGATTGAAAACTGTAACATGGTTAAATACGGTAAAGAGAATTTAAGTACTAAAGATAATCTATATATATAAAAATGGAGACAAAAATGTATAACAATTCATCAATTGAGAACGGCTGAACCGATTTCGCTCACTCTTTTTTGGTTTGGGTCATAATTGCCAGAAGGTTCTTACGGATGAAAAAATTGAGAAAGTTATCGGGTTAGAGAAATATGATGAGGGTGTGATGAAATTAAAGTGGCGCCATCTGTCCAGTAAAAAACAAAATAAATAATATTAATATTTTTTGGTAGTCAAAGGCGGTCAGCTCCCATTTCGCCGCCGTTTCATTTCGCCGCGGTACCATTTCACCGAATTTATTTTTTCGCAGTTCCATTTCGCCGAATTTATTTTTTAGGTAACTCTTTTAAGTAAACTTAAGATTAAAAATTACATTCTAATTAGTTATATTTATGTAATATGTAATCTGAAATTATTACACGAGCTCCACAGTTTTCAATACACTTCCAATATTTTTTATTT